TAATGTTAATAATATCATTATCATCAGCAGCACCATCTTCACCATTAGAATGTTTATTGGGATTAATATTATGATGTGTCATCATAGTTGATATATTTGTTATTGATGTTATTGTTGGTGTTATTATTTATCATTCTTTTTATTATTGTTGTTGTTTCTGTTGATATATTTTTTTGTTTTATTATTATTATTTTTTATTTTATTTTATTTTATTTTATTTATTTTTTTATTATTATTATCATATTTGTGAAAATTGTGACAATTTTTATTATTATTATTACTATTATAATTTTATCATTGTTTTGTTTTCATTATTATTGTTGTAATTATTATTGCTATTATCATTATTATTATTGTTGTTGTTTTTTATGGTTATTATTGTTATTTTGTTTTTATGGTTATTGTTGTTATTTTGTTTTAAGTATTGTTAAGATTATTGTTATGATTTTCATAACGGTATTTATTTTTTATATATTATTATGATGATTGTTGTTTGTACTGCTACTGCTGCTACTACTGCTGCTGCTACTATTACAACTACTACTATACTACTACTACTACTACTGTACTACTGCTTCTACTACTATTAGTAGTAGTAATATTGTAATTAGTAACATTGAATGGGGAATAACCAGTGCTGCAGCTATGATTGTCAATATTATTACAAAATATTGGTGATACAGTCATTATTATAACTTGTTTTTATGGTATGTTTTTATTAATTTTGATATCAATTGGTGTTTTTAATGGATATGTTTAATAAGAGACTGGTCCATTGCTTTATATAAGTAAACAGTGAAATTGTCATGGTGTTAGTGTTCCGTGATGATGATGATATTCATGACAGTTGTTTACCCCCTAGAATCACAATGCTTCTAGCTTACCTGGACCCCCAGCCACAAAATAGACATGTTTTCTAGTTCCACTAAGGGAAATTGTGGTATTTGGCATTTGAAGAGAAAAATATTACACACCAGATGTAAATTTTATTTCCACATCTCAAATTCAACGAGTATCAGTAGAGCACAAAGTTCAAGAAGTTATCACACTTACTATCTGTATATGAATGAAAGTTGGGGAGAGTTTAACTATGAATATGTAAAAAAAAACACTTGCAGAATATTTTATATTTTATTTTATCATATGAAATGATAAAATGTGTATTTTTATGTACATAAGTAACTAGATAGTAACTAGGAGTAAAAGTTTTTTGTTGGATGAAATATGCCATACAGAACCAGAAAATCTCATTGTCACATTTCAGTCCCAAGAAGATAGAGGCTTGAAGACAATAATGTCTCTTTGGCTCAGGCATGCGAGGGAGTATAGTTGAGAGTGTAGGGGATATGGTTGTGGCTGAAGGAACTTACCAAACAGTACCAGATATATTAGAGGACACAGTGTACGTCTTATTCATAACAGGAAAGTTATGATAGTTTTGACTGGCCATGATCATAGTAAATAAATAGACTGTGAACATCTAGTTGAATAGCCTTGATCTTGGTGAATAAGATTTTTGGGTTTGATGCCTATAGAAGCAGTAGTATTACTGTTACTGTTTCTGTTACTGTTGCTATTACTATTAATATTACTATTACTATAACTATTACTATTGCTGCTGCTGCTGCTGCTGCTGCTGCTGTTACCATTACTGTTACCATTACTGCTGCTGCTGCCACTACTGCTACTACTGCTACTAGTACTACTACTAGTACTACTACTAGTACTACTACTAGTACTACTACTACTACTACTACTACTACTACTACTACTACTACTACTACTACTACTACTACTACTACTACTACTACTACTACTACTACTACTACTACTACTACTAGTAGTAGTACTACTACTACTTTTACTACTACCGCTACTACTTGTACTACTACCACTACTACTTGTACTACTACTACTACTACTTGTACTACTACTACTACTACTACTACCACTACTACTACTACTACTACTACTACTACTACTACTACTACTACTACTACTACTTGTACTACTACTACTAGCACTACTACTAGTTCTACTAGTAGTACTACTACTACTAGTACTAGTACTACTAGTAATACTACTTCTACTACTTCTACTACTAGTACTAGTACTACTACTAGTACTACTACTAGTACTACTACTACTACTAGTACTACTACTACTACTACTACTACTACTACTACTGCTACTGCTACTGCTACTACTGCTTCTACTACTATTACTGTTACTATTTCTATTACTACATCTATTACTACTACTATTACCACCATCACTATTACTACTGGAAATGTTGCTGATAATAGGGAATTGATATATAAGATTTTGTGGTATTATTAGACACGTATCAAGTTTTATGTCTGAAATTATAATTTTTTCTTTTAAGCTTGATTGCTCCTTTAATTGGTTGCTCCTTTGTTTGCAGTATTGATGATCTTGTGCTTAGATATGGTTTTGGTTATTTTTGGCTGAGGGCTGGATGAGAATATGCAGTCATGGAAAAATTTACCTGTGAGGACTGAGATGATGATGACATCATGAAAGGCACATCTGAATGTCTTGTCATGTGTGCACAAAGCTCTTGGAGGAAGATTAGACTCAATAGGCATTTAGGAAGGGTTTTATGCATTGTTTCTATTGATGAGTTATGGCTGGAAAGAACTCTAGCTCTAAGGAGGACACTGTTTCCATATTCAAGATTCTGTTAATGTCTACTGTTACCAGTAACACAGGGTGTTATTTATTATTACTGTAAATGTACAGGTGACAAATATAGACAATAGATAACAAATATAAACTGTGGAAAATGGCAAAAAGGCAAAAAATGTTTTTGCAAAGAAAGAGATAATAACATTCCAAAGGGAAAGTAAGGAGCAGTGGTAGTACTCTTTTTAATGCTCTAAAATTGAATACCTTAACCCCTATTATATGGATGATGGAAAAATCTGGGTTGAGGGCAGGGTGACGTGATCATGCCGTCATTGGGCAAAATGGCCGCAGGCCTATTGATAATCAAATGTGGTATGTGACATGCGTAAGCAGTGACTGAAAGAGCAGTGGCTTCAGGATAGCATTGTATCATTCCCATTCCTGTGCCACTGGCTCGTCGGACAGAGTTTGTTTTTCTCCAATAGTAGTGGCTTCATTAATATGGTAAAGATTTTAGACAATGGCAGCTATAATGAAGGTAAACCTTCAAAATTATAATATTTTTATAAATTATAGTAAAATAAAATCTTTTAGGTGCCAAATGTCGCTCGCAAACTTCCAATCGAGCTGGGCGCAAACAGGAAACAATAATTAAAAAATACATGTAATGATAAAGAATGTGGTAATGATACTGGTAATATGAAAAGACTAGTAATAATATTAATAGTATTAAAAAGATCCCAAAATACAGGGAATGGGTGAAATCAAGTGAGGTCCATTAAGCCTACTAATTATTTCTTCTGTGACTAAGAGATTGTGGAACTACAGTAGAGAATATGTGTACCTAATGCCAGAAGGTTATGATTTATGTAAGAATCATATATAATATCTTATATTTCAAATGTTTTTCTTTGTATATATAGTTAGGACATTTATATTGACTTTTTTTTTTCATGTTCAAAATCCACTTGAAAACTGTAATATTGTAATCTGTTTCTGTTTTATTGCAACATGTGACCTTGAATTGATAGGAACCAATAAAAGTTGTGGGGAAGTAGCCAAGTAACTCATTTTGATGCACAGATATACAAAATGCATACAGGACGAAATGAAATAAGTATATTAATAAGGCTACCTAATATTTATGAAATTTGATTTATACAGATTATGTAATTTGATTTATTTTTATTATTGTTGTTATTATTATTATTATTATTATTATTATTAGTAGTAGTAGTAGTAGTAGTATTGTTATTATTGTTATAATAATAATGATTTTGATTATTATTATGATGATGATGATGATGTACAGGTATGGAAGTATTTAGTTTTGTATTTTTTTGTGCAAATTTACCCAGTTGTAGCGTCTTTGTACTGGAAAATGGTTAGTCAAGGATATATGATGTTCTAATCATTGAGAGCGTAATATTTGGATATTTATGCAATTAGGAACAAACTTTTGATCTGTTTATAGAGGGTCTTATTTTCAGTTCAGCATTTATTGGTATTTCACTTGGAAAATGTTTAGAATTTAGATTATTACAAGTGGTTCTGACAGAAGTTAATAGTATGTTGTTTGTACGTATAGAGATGAATGTTGATGTGCATGTGTGTCTGTGTGTACATCTGTATGTATGTATGAATGCAAGGAGCTGATGCTTTGTTAAGTGTTTTAGAGCCCTTACCCAATTATTTCTCCTCCATTGTATTTATTTATTTATTTTTATAGGAGAATGAAAGAAATATACATTTTGTGTTTGATTGAAATTTGACTTTTTTATGAATACATTTCTTCTTTCTTTCTTTTTTTTATAGGAGTATGAAAAGATAGAAGTATATAAGTTCCCAAAATATTCCATTTCCATTAGCACATGTTAATTTTATTATTTTAGTAATTTGCTATACTATTTTTAGCACTTTGTGAGTCTCCCATTCTGCTTGCTTTTCAAATAGATTTTGATATAAATTAAATTGCTCTCATCATTGTGTGTGAGGAAAAAGGGGAGAGAGAGAAAAAGACTGAGGTCCCTTCTTCAGGAAGTGATGAGCAGAAAAAGTTACAAAACCAAAGGACATGAGATAAATATTTAGAGTTACATCAAAAAGAGATGTGCCCACATTTTTCTAGAGGTTGAAGCACATAGTTACTATGAATGTTTTCCCTTGGTATGAAACTAATATATGAAGGACATTTATAAAGCTTGTTCAAAGATATTACTATGTAAACCCTTAGTAGTTGTTTAATGTACTGTATCCTCTTTGGTTGGACTAAAGAAAATACCATTTCAGATGCAATTTCCCAATCTCTAAACTGTTATGTGTCAAAACTAACTTTCTGCTCTCTATTACAGGCACAGGAGAATCTGGCAAATCTACCTTCATCAAGCAGATGCGTATTATCCACGGTGCAGGTTATAGCGATGATGACAAACGAGGGTTCATCAAGCTGGTCTTCCAGAACATCTTCATGGCCATGCAGTCAATGATCAGGGCCATGGACCTTCTTCAAATATCTTATGGAGACTCTGCAAACAGTGTAAGTGCATTGATGCTGGGCTCTACCTTGCAATGTATTTGTTTATTGCCGATGTATTTGTATTCTGTTTATGTGAAAGCTGCTTTGTCTTCTAGGGTGTACTTTAGAGAGGAGTTTGTTTAATTTCTTTTTAATTATGTGGTTTAAGAAATCAAATAATGTTGGTCACATATATGAACTAGCTGGATGAGAGAAGGACATAGGGGCATAAAGTGTATTTTAATCCTGCTCTTTGTGAAACCTATTGTAGGTAAATGTATAGTGAGATAGTGGAGCATGAATATGATGCAGCACTCATAACTGCTACCTAGTTTTTGTTATGCTTTTGAAATTGCTGGCTATTTATTTGATTTAGTTCTATACAAGAAGAATTTTGCTTTAGAAAAGAATACTTGAGGATCATCCAAGACACAGACCTACATTTGTTATCAGTTAAGAATGTAAATTTTTGATTTATTTATTTTCACAAATTAAAATGTAAACAAGTCAATCTATTAAAACAGATATACCGCATTCATAGTTGTTGCTAACTTTTACTAGAAAGGCTGCAGTAAGATGTTAATTAAAAGAAAGAGATATTTCTTGGAAAAATTGATATATGATGAATATATTTAGATTTGGTATAGTATACTGCATAAGGTCAATATTTACTCTACCCTTTATCTGTGAATATATGAGTAGATGGATTTGTTTGATAGTTATAGATTTATATATTTAACCAAAGAAAGTTAAAAGATAGACAGACTTAAATTGTTTTGAAGTGTCAATAAGTCCAATAGAACTGAGATGTAGAGTAGGAAAATGTTCAGGAAGGTGGGGCATTTGTTAAAGATGAACTACAGATAGAATATATGCATAACTAGACAGTCTTTTGTAAAATACTGCAGATACCCCAAAAATAATTGTTGAGAGAGTTTACAGTCTGATCAGTATGCAAAAGAGTTCATAGTAGTGTGGGGGATAATAGTGAAAAGGAGTTCTGATGTGGCTTGTGTCTGGCTGAAAGTTAAACTGAAAGCAGAGTGACTGAAGGGGGTAAAGGTATGCCTTACTGTGCAACATGTGAGTGGATTAGGGTAGAAATTGAGATATATAGTGAGTGGCAGTCTTGTCTTGGCCATAGATAGATAGTACAACTAACTTGTTAACTGTAATTTGTCATTTGTGTATCAATGTTCTGTATTGTAATGTCTATTATTTTAATGTGAACATCTCCTACATAAAATTGAAAGTTTTTGAAAATACTATTAAATGCTTCAACTTGTAGGCAGCACCTTCATACCTTTTTAATTTTATTTAATGCATATACTCTTCTCATCAGTAAAACAAGTGCTGTTTAGTTCATATAAGTACACTACAGTATATGCTATGTAATGGTAATTGCTTGGTGTTCATCTCGATGTAGCATCCTGTGATAGATAGCTTTTTACAGATATTTAAATGAAGGATATCCATACCTTTATTCTAAAAGGTTTAGTGTTAGAAACAGATACAAGATATGTGAGAAGCAGATTCAAGGAAAAAAGGGAATGATATAGCTAAACTTATTATGATGCTCATATTACTTTATATTAGTCATCACATTCCAAGTTCCAAAGTTTAGACAGCTAAATTTCAGTACAGTGTGTGATATTTGGTGGTCAAATATCACATATTATCTCTTGCACTAATGATAAGGGATATTGCATACTCTTTAGTGAAAAATAAGTTTTTATACACAATAGAAATAAAAGATGCTAGTTTAATGCCAGAAGCTAACTTATTTGGTTAGCAGTCATTTCCAGGAATTAGGTTAATAGAATACATGTATGTAATATGTTTGTGTTTATATATGTTTTATTTGCCTAAGCTTAAATTTTCTTCCAACCCTCATGTTATTTTAAAGAAGAATAAATGATGCAATTTTTTGGGCCCAACTAATGAGAGGTGTCTTTTGCCCAGTTAGTGAAAGAATAGGGAAAACTGATATGAAACTTAGAGAATAAGAGAATGTAATAACACAGCTGTCAGTCAGATTATAACATAATTTTTTTTTCAGCAATGATAAACTGTATCACTCCTCTTTTTCACCATTCGCCATTTGTACCTCTTCTCTGATAAACCTTCTACCTATCTTTAACAGGAACACGCAGATCTGGTGCGAGCGGTGGACTATGAGTCAGTCACAACGTTTGAGGAGCCATATGTAACTGCCATGAAAAGCTTATGGGCTGACACCGGCATCCAACACTGCTATGATCGTCGCAGAGAGTACCAGCTCACAGATTCAGCAAAATAGTATGTGGATCTTTTGATCATACTATTTGCCCATTATTACAGCTTTGATAATAGAGGTTTAGCATGTTAGGGCAGTTAGAAGCTTTTTAGTTATTTTTGTGAAGAATGCAGTTATTTTAGTATGTATTGCATATATACATATGTTGTGAGTGGAGTGATTGCCAGGGTGGAGTTATTGCGCGAGTGGTGTTATTGCATCAGTGGAGTGATTGCACGAATGGAGTGTTTGAAAGAGATAGAGAGAGAGAGTGAGAGATAGAGAGCAAGTGGGAGATAGAGATAGTAGTAGTTTTCCTACTTCTCTGCACACATTTACACAAGGGCTTAAATCCACAACAAATAGCTCATATGATACATAGTTAAAGATGAAGGGAAATCCTGATAATGTAAATGCATAGATAAGTTTGTGTGAGTGTGTATAATTGTATTTATTTAATAGTTAAGAAAGAAATAGTTGTTTATTTGTATACTTATTGTATGTTTATAATTTAGTTCTCAAGTTATATATTTGAGAATCATTGTGAAGTTGGAGAATCACATAAAAGTGATCTTTTTATTCCCATCTCTGCAGAGACACGCACGAGCGCACACACACGCGTGTGCACACTCAAACACACCTACACACACACACACACTCACACACCACACACACACACACACACACACACACACACACACACACAAACACAACACAACACACAACACACAAACACACACACGCACACGCACACGCACACGCACACGCACACACACACACACATATGCACACACACATATGCACACGCACGCACACACAAATACACACACACAAACACACACACACACGCACAAACACACACGCACACACACACAACACACACACACACACAACACACACACACACACACAAACACATACACACACACAAATACACACACACACATAAATATACGTATGCACACAAATACACATGCACACAAATACACACATGCACACAAATACACACATGCACACAAATACACACACAAATACACACACACACAAATACACACACACACAAATCACACACACACATACAAATACACATATGCAAACAAACAAGCGCACACACACACACACACACACACACACACACAACACACACACACACACACACACACACACACACACACACACACACACACACACACACACACACACACACACACACGTACAAACAATATATTCATTTGTAATCATACAAAATGTTTTAGAAACCGTATAAAAATTATATAGATAAGCACCAGTAGACTGCTTTAGATTTAGATTTTCCACAATTAATGTGTTTACAATGATAGCAAGGTAGCTATATTTTGTTTTTGTTTTTCACTTAAAGACTGTAGTTATAACATATGCAGTTCTCAATATTTTACTGTTAATATCTTTTATTTATTTTTTTGTTTTTTATGTTGTAACACAAGTAACCTTTATATAGGGAATAGTAAGTTTTCTTGGCAATGTGTGAAGTGCATGGTGTATATATAACCTTCTTTTGTTCAGTTTTTTTTTATGGTTATGTCTAGTTTTCCTTTCATTTAGAAATAAGATAGATAGTAAATGTTTTCAATGAAAATTAGATGTGGTCTATCTTTATGTAAGATTAAGAAAAATATATCCTATCAGATTTTGTTTTAATGATTTCACTATTTGATAATGTTTTGCACATGACAGTAGTGTTTCATATGTGAGTTATTACTTCAAGCTAATATTGGTGGTGCAGTCAGCAAGTGTCCGTATACAGTGCAATTCGTCTTCGCATTCTTTGTAAAATTTAAAGTTTCAATGAAAATTGGGTCATTGGCAGACTTGTTAATCTGTAAACTCTTGCTGAATATCAAGAATGATTTAGGAGTCATTGCTATGAAGTATTTTTATAATTATTATGATAAATGTATCCCAGCAGTAACATTTCAGTTAAATACTTTATAAAATTGCACAGAAAAGTGGCTAATAGCTTTCAAAAGGCACAAAGGTAAGGAAAGATGTCTTGATATAGTATTCATATTACGTTTTTGATTAATATTATTTTCTTATAACTGTTGTTATTCTTGTAACCATATCTTAAGGATCTCTGTTCTTATACTCTCCTTACTTATAATTCTTCATTAAATGTCTATAGGCTGTGTAGTAGTTTGAAAATATTAAAAGCAACTACTGAAATGTTAAGAGAAGAAACATGTGTTGAAAAAAGAGAAATAGAGAGAGAGAGAGTGATAGAGAAAAAAGAAATAGAAATAATCAGTAAGTTGATCAGTGATATATTATAAAGATGTCTTTTCTTTTCTTTTCTTCTTTGGTTCATTTTAATGGAAAACACTGATATGTGCAAAGATATAATTTAAGTTTTATATATATGTGCAAATGGTGAGGGGAGTGCTAAAGTTTTATAAAAGTTGATTTCTCTTTGTAAATTCATTGGCTTTCATTGTGTTGAGTGATGGATCTACAAGTAATCTATAGCTTCACGGTTCTCCTCTGCCCAGAAGATCAAAATCTACACCCCCCTTTGTGCTCTCCCTTGTTTATGTTTTTTTATTGATAAAAGTAACTTTTAATCGTACCTCTTGAGCGTTGACTCCTTAATTACAATTTTTTCCAAGTACGGTACTTCCTGAAGCTTGTATTGCTTACTGTATCCTTCAATAATGCAATAATTACCTGTAGTTGCTAAATTATCTTTGTATCCCAACAGCTATTTAACAGACTTAGACCGCATAGCTGCCGAGGACTATGTTTCCACACTACAAGACATTCTAAGAGTGAGAGCACCCACAACAGGCATTATAGAATATCCCTTTGACCTAGAAGAAATCAGATTTAGGTATGTTCTGTGGGAAGCTCTCACACATATGTGCCCGGGTTGGTAGGTAGTGTACCAGCTCTGACGTGTCTCGAGGCCTTGTTGATCCCTCCCGGTGTAACTTGAGAAAGCGCTAACAAGTTTGGGAATTAGTACCTTTTTTTTTTTCTTTCTTTAATTTTTTTTGTTTTTTTTTTTCCTTTTTTTTTCTTTTTTTTTCTTTTCTTTCCTTCTTTTTTTCCTGGTTAGACCAAATGGATAAAAAGTGTTTGTAAAGAGGCATTGAATCAACTTTATAAAACTTGTGGCACACGAAAAGGCATCAGCAAGGTTGTACCATATCTCACTGATGCTGCTCCCCATCACCATCCACCACTTGACACTATCAGAGGAACACCGACAAAGACAACTGTTTTTCCTTTGCAGTTATCTTGATGATTTGGAGCGTATCATATCATCGGACTTCTTACCGACCGAGCAGGATATTCTTAGGGCTCGAGTACCAACCACTGGAATCATTGAGTACCCCTTTGATCTGGACTCAATCATCTTTAGGTATCAGAAAATCTTGAATTCATTAGGCCCTCCCCTGTCAGCCAGAGCAGAGTAGCTAGATCCCAGTGCATAGAGTTTATACCAGTGCCGTTAACCTAACATTGTGGAGGTAGAGTCCCTTTTGTATCCCTATGTCAGCATTGTAATGCTCTGCAAATTGTTGTATAACAGAGTTGCAATTACAACTACCACCCATGTCTCCCATAACCCAAGGACTCTCACAAAGTTACTCATTGTTTATCAAGAGTGCGGTCCATAGTTGATTCCCTATCAACCGTTGGAATCTCTATTGTGTAGTCATATCTATGGCTAATATCTGAGTAAAGATTTAGTGATAATTTAAATTTCCTGTTGTGCAAAACTTATCTCTCCTTTGAGTGATTGCCCTGAAGAGTTAAACAATTATTACTTATATTAACAAGGTTAATATCTTCAGATGCATTTTGGATCTGGATTGCAAGATCCACATGGTAAGGAAATTTCCCTTTCTCAAATTAAGCTTTGTACATACATATTTGTTTCTTTTTCCTTTTAACTAAGGAAGCAATTTTTGCACAGTATGAAATTTAAATTTAAGCTATCACTAAAGGAGTAGCCAAATTATCTATTCTTTAGTGCATCATATAAAAAAGACAAAGCAAAAAAAAAATCTCCCCATGAATGTTAAACCACCAGACATGCAACCTTATGCTTCAAGGAAAGGCAAGAGGCACGTGAACTTACCTGTAGTCATTGTGCACCTGTTATTGCACAATACATGTGTCCTCACCCTTCATACTCTTTCACGTACTTTATGTGTTTGTTCCCAATATTATTTATATCTACCTAGTGTGACCGTATGCATCATCTTGTAGTCATCCTCTATACATACACATGAAATCTGAGGTCCTTGGGGGTATAGATAGTGCAGTAGTTTGGTTTCAAAATGCTTACATTGTGCAACTCGGTCCCATTATGTATATAAATATATATATTTATATATATAAATTATATATGTGCTGTATTAATCTATAAATGTCTTCTATATTTTTCTTTTCTTTTTTAGTTTTATGGAATAAAGGAGAGAGTGGAGATCAGTATCTTCAGTCAAACTTTATCTTTTGTAATTTATGTTTTGTAATTCTTTGTACTAAAGGACCTGTATATAAGTCTCAAGTCTACTTTCTTTCATTACTATTTGATTAATGCAAAATATGAATTTGATCCATAATTTAAACTTTTCCTAAAGATCAGTAATTGTTAATGTGAAGTCATATACAGTAGTAGTTTCCTAAAAAAAGAAAAAAAGAAAAAAAATCATTCATGCCTGTTTTTGTTCTGTAATTTCCTTTAATTTTCTCTTTTTCTGTCTTCTGTATGTGTATTTGACTTGTGAATCTCTGTAACATATTTGCTTGGGGGGGAATTTAAACCGTGACTCCACCTGCAGAATGGTAGATGTCGGTGGTCAGCGATCTGAGCGACGGAAGTGGATTCATTGCTTCGAGAATGTCACCTCTATCATTTTCCTGGTCGCACTTTCTGAGTATGATCAGATCTTGTTTGAGTCTGACAATGAGGTAAGTTGTGGACAGAATTTTTCTTTTTCTTTTTTTTTGTGGGAATGTGTTGTTGATAACATTTGATGTGGCATATATATGACTGTATATAATTGTTTTTTGTTTTTAATAATGATATTCTTATGATTTGCTGCCTATTCTTGCTATTCCATATTTAAGATTGATTAAGGCTGAAACTAAAGTAAAAGGCTGAGATTGTTCAGTAATGCTAGCTGATATGACATTTTTGGGTGAATTATCACTCTACCTTTCATTCACTGAAAAAAGTCTCAAGGGAAACTTTCATTTCATGTTATTTGGGGCTTGAATTTGAACCATCGTATAAGAAAAATGTTTTGGAAAATTAAAAGATCTTGTTTTCTTGTATCTTAAAGAAAAGAAAGAGAGGAGGAAAAAGTGTTAGAATTAGACATGAAATGTTAATAGTGTTATGTCAGGTAGTTTTGTGTCCATAGTGCAAATGGGGTTTTAGTGATGCAACTCTCCCAATGTTTCAGTGACATCTAAGTTAGCCGATTATTTTAGTGGCCAGGTCAGTGTTTGTATGGAAACCCAAAACCCTATAGGATCCACTTCTTTTATCTCAGCCTCCTTCAACTCCTCTTTTCTGCTCCACCTCTTCCTCCATGTACTTCCCCGTGCCATGCCTCCCTTTCAATTTTTCTTCTTTCTTCCGTATTTCTTTTTTCTTCATCATTCCTTCTTTCTTCATTTCTTCTTCTTCTTCTTCTTCTTCTTCTTCTTCTTCTTCTTCTTCTTCTTCTTCTTCTTCTTCTTCTTCTTCTTCTTCTTCTTCTTCTTCTTCTTCTTCTTCTTCTTCTTCTTCTTCTTCTTCTTCTTCTTCTTCTTCTTCTTCTTCTTCTTCTTCTTCTTCTTCTTCTTCTTCTTCTTCTTCTTCTTCTTTCTTCTCTTCTTCTTCTTTCTTCTTCTTCTTCTCTATCCTCCTTCTTTTTCTCCTCCTTGTCCTTGTCATCTCTTCTTTTCCTCTTCCTCCTCCTCCTCCTCCTCCTCCCTCCTCCTCCTCCTCCTCCCTTCCTCCTCCTCCTCCTCCTCCTCCTCCTCCTCTCTCCTCCTCCTCCTCCTCCTCCTCCTCCTCCTCCTCCTCCTCCTCCTCCTCCTCCTCCTCCTGCTCCTTTTCATCCTCCTGTTCCTCTCCCTTGTACTCTTCCTTGTACTCCGTATTCTCATTCTCCTTTGGCTTCTCCTCCCCTGCTCCTTTTTCATATATTATACCCTCATATTTCAACCTCTTGTATTTCATATAGGGTCAATTTTTGCTCAGTTCCTCCTCCTTCTCCTTCTTCTTCCTCCTCTCCTCCTCCTCCTCCTCCTCCTCCTCCTCCTCCTCCTCCTCCTCCTCCTCCTCCTCCTCCTCCTCCTCCTCCTCCTCCTCCCTTTTTTTCTACTCTACTACTATTTCTTCTCCCTCCCTTTTCTTCTTTTTCTTCTCTTCTTTCTTCTTCTTCTTCTTCTTCTTCTTCTCTTCTTTCTTCTGCTTCTTCTTCTTCCTTCTTCTTCTTCTTCTTCTTCTTTCTTCTTCCTTCCTTCTTCTTCTTCTTCCTTCTTCTTTCTTCTTCTTCTTCTCTTCTTCTTCTTCTTCTTCTCTTCTTCTTCTTCTTCTTCTTCTTCTTCTTCCTCCTCCTTCTCTCTCTCTTCTTTCTCTCTTTCTCCTCTTCCTCTTCCTGTTCCTTCTCTTTCTCTACTTCTTCCTCTACTTCATCTTTCTCTACCTTTACCTTTTCTTCTTCCTCCTCCCCCTCCTCTTTTTTTTTTTTCTATTCCTCTCCTTCTTCTCCTTCTCCTCCTATGCCTACTCCTCTGCCTCCTTCTCTTCCTCCTCTTCTTCTTTTTGTACAACTTCCTCCTCATCCACCTCATTCTCTTCCTACACTTCCGTCCAACTCATCCTTCCTCCTCCCCTCCTTCTCCCTTGCCTCCTGCTCCTCCTACTTCCTTCTCCTCCTCCTCTCCACTTCCTCCTTCTCCTCCTCCCTCCTCCACCTCTTCCTTTTCTTTTTCTTCTTCCTTGTCTTTCTCCTCCTCTTCCTCTCCCCTCCCCTCTTCTGTATTCCTTCTCTTCTTCCTCCTCTCCATTTTCTGTCTTGTTGATGCTCTCTTGAAAGGGGCAGATTCCCCAATTAATATGTAATGATGGTAGATAAACAACAATTGCATCCTCTGAAACTAATAATTCGTATTACAGTGTTATTTTCTTAATTTTTTATTTTCTTATTTTTCCTTTTTTTTGGTCTCCCTCTTTGACCTGAATTTAACCCTACTGGTGCGTCAAGACTGGAATGTTTTGATCAACCTTTTTCTGCTAATCAGAAATGGATACATTCAGTGACAGTCTTCTTAGTTTCATAATGAGGAGGCGTCAGATTAGTTTTATAATCTTGTTTTAGCCAATAGCTCAGGTAAATCTGACTGTAGTTAAGCAGGGCAATACTGTTTTGAATATTGCCTGGTGTGTTGTGCTAAGTTTCTTTTCTCTCTTTTTTTCCATTGAATAAAGGGAAAATAGTTGTCAGTGGGACACTTGGGTCAGATACTACATTTACTAATGATTCTTAGATGTGATAGCTTTTGAGTATTACTTTCTTTTTCATATACTATATCCTCATATTTCAACCTCCTATATTTCATATTAGATGAAATTCTTCTCAATATTTATTGGGAAGAGTCGCTTAATAGAAATTATATGAAAAACTGATGTTATTATCATTACTTTCTTCATCATTAGTATATTTGTTATCAATTTGTCAGGTTGAAATGCACCTTTTCATTTTTATCTTACAGAACCGAATGGAAGAATCAAAGGCCCTGTTCAAGACCATTATCACATACCCCTGGTTCCAGCACTCGTCTGTTATTCTCTTCCTTAACAAGAAGGATCTGTTGGAGGAGAAGATCATGTACTCACATCTGGTGGACTATTTTCCAGAATATGATGGTAAGTTGGTGTTTTGGTGTTGAGTGTTATTTATATATGTTGAAGATCAGGTGACAAATGGCATGGGGATAGGCCAGAAAGAAAAATGTGTAGGTTGTATGAAGTTAATGCATTGGAATGGAAAAAAGTTAGCAGGTGGGAAAGTACCTTAGAAGATTTAACGGGCATTCAATAAGATACGGAAAGCATGAGATTGTTGCAAGTGGCTTTGTATGTGTTACATAACTTGCAAGATTTGTCACTTGGGTTTAGCTCTGGTTATCCACTCCTCATGATTAGATGTACATCATCAAAGGCATCATTACTGAGGGCATTTCTGAGTTTTTATAAATGCTTGAGGGAAATTTAATTAGAAAATAGCTTCATGTTTTTGTGACTTATGGTAGTGTAAAGATGCACTGTCAAGGAAAACAAAAAATTCTCAGCAGGATGATCATTTATGATCATAATTTATACAACTTTCATCAAGACAGCATAGTCATAATAGTTGTAAAGTATAAAAAAAGAACATGAATTTCATATGTGGTACTCTTCGTCTTGCTGACCTACTATAACTTTTGAAAAATGATAGTACATAAATGACGCTCTTATTATCTCATATTTACCAAGGAAAATTCAAGGTGAACTGACTGTAACTATCTATACTAAATTACAGTTTTAGTGACAAATTAGTGTTGAAAATCATTTTAAGCACCTTCAGACTACCAAAAATATTTCCATTCAGGGATCTTTTCAAGGGGTAAAGGTTTCTCTGCAAGCCTTATTTTAGCTTGCCTATAGGTAACGTAAAGGTGCACTACCCTCGATGACACTTGTTTGTTATGACCTCCAGGACCAAAAGAGGACCATGTTGCAGCTCGTGAATACGTTCTGAAGATGTACCTTGCCCAAAACCCAGATCCCGACCGAATGTGTTATTCTCACTTTACTTGTGCCACAGGTCGGTTTGGTCGTCACAGAACTAAGAGCTAGCTAAATGTATTACCAAATGTAGATGGACATGTCCGTCTGGCCAGCCAGCTTTTAACTTACACCTTTTATGAAAGTATTTAGTGGTTCATGTAAAAGCTTGTATTCCTTATGAAAATGGGAAATGTTTTTTCTGAGACTTAGACTGAATTTTCTGATCCCTCTGAGTCCATATTTATGTATGTGGAACAAGCAGAGAAGTGCAGTTGTTGAGCAACCCATATAGCTGGATTTTAGAAATTTGGATTAGTTATTATACTCTGTAACTCAAGTCAGAGATAGTAAGTATAGTCATGTTTATGCATAAGTAGTTTTGTCCTTTTAGCATTGTATGAAATGTACTTATGTAGTTTAAAGATATATAATGACAGCCACTTAGTTTGCAACATATGCTAGATGTATAAAATTTGAATGGATTATGATGGAGTGAAATAGAAGAGTGTAATTAATGCTTCTATCTATAATATGATAACTGGTATCAGTCACATGGTACCTTTTGCAGATTCATTCTTTGAATAATCAGATCTAACTTGTAATAGTAGATAGTACATACATTTATTTCAGTTCTCTTTTATTATCATGTAATGTAAAGGGGTATTAAATCTCAAATTATAACTGCTGTGATTAATCCATAAGGAGTTTTTATGATATTTTTTTCTGATACTTAAAAGTGCATATTTTATGCATTTCGAGCATGAATTATTTATTAGGATTTATTTTGTGTTGGAGATGTTGAGAAAAAATTTTACACACACACACACACACACACACACACACACACACACACACACACACACACACACACACACACACACACACACACACACACACACACACACACAACACACACACACACACACACACACACACACACACACACACACACACACACACACACACTCACACACTCACACACTCACACACTCACACTCAATAAAACACACATACACTAAGTTCCAAGGTCTAATGTCGTTATTCTTTACGAGATATTTTGGAAATCTCAAAATGTATGTAGATATGGTGAACCAAAAATGATAATTAATGGTCATTTGTTTCTCAGTTTTAAAAGCATGTATTGACTTTGTTTTACTGGAGGATTACTTTTCATTTGGAATACTTTTTAATGTTTTTAAAATTGGTAAAGAAAAAGATATTGAATAATGATTATTACTGCTGGTATGAGTAACTAATGGACTATTTCCAGGTATGTAGTTTGTAGTTGAATGATTTTGTTCCTTTATTTTCGTTTATTTATTTATTTATTATTATTTTATTTATTTATTTATTTATTTATTTTTGAGTGAAAATAATAAGTAGGGAAAGTTAGGAATATGATTCTTTAGGGCTATTCAGATTGGCAAGTATTGCCAGGCTTTGTGAGTGAAGGAGGTATTGTAGAATGATTTTATCTATTTCCTTACACACCACTTTTTTCTATATAGAACATGAATGGTAGAGCCACATATTGGGAGGCCAGAACACATATCTGTGTCTATACCTTTCTCTCTGCCTATCAAGCTGTGTATCTTTAGTGTTTTTATTTGTATTCTTTATTTTTATTTATGTTCATAATTTGAACTACTTTATTGTATACATATTTTTTTACTGTAGATACAAGGAGTTTTGTCAGAGGAAATAACTGCACAGAAAATATATTTTGTTGACATATTCCATTGATTTCTAGGAAAACAAAAAGGATGAACCAAGTATTAATGAAAAGAGAGATGATGATTATCAGACCTTAGCAGTCCATTTTATACAGGAGTATTTGTTGCTTTCCTAAAGGGGTCTTTTTAGAAAGCTACATCATCCTTTAGATATGTATAGGAAAGTTGTATGTGTTTCATCTCAATTGTTCTTTTCCAGGCCCACAGAGGGATGCCATTGCAGCCCGGGAGTTCATCCTACGTATGTTTGTAGAATTAAATCCTGATCCTGAGAAGATTATATATTCACATTTCACATGCGCGACAGGTAAACAGCACCTACTGTGGAAATGAACATGCATGATGACCATTCTTGACTGAATGTTCGGGAAGGCTGGAAATTGGAATGCACTTTTTTGCTGTCCAATGTGCCAGTGCATGGTGGATTACCTTTATTATGTGTGCATTTGCCTCCCATTTGTTGGAGTGTGGAAGCAGAGGGCTTCTCGGCCTACTAGTGTCAAATTGGAAGTCAGGGCAATTTTGTGTGACTGCTCTCTGTCTTCTGCCTTTTTCAGCAAGCTTTTGGTACTTTATTTTTGTCTCTCCTGGATGAATGAATCATGAAAGGATGATGAGATGATTAATATGTTTGTTTTTATTTCCTTTGCATGCTGCCTCTGGCTTCTTCCATATGTGTTATGTGGAATATTCCTGCATGTCTGCATGACACATTCATCCTTGCTATTTTGACTTTTTAACAAATACACATAACTTAACGTATTGAATACCTCTATGATGACTTTCAACACATTCATATTCATTTTAATTTATTGTACAAAATACTAAATTAATGTCTTTAAAATCACAAAACACTTACCACCCAACACAACCATGATTACATTTTGGGACCAAAACAGACACAGAGAATATTAAATTGGTGTTCTGCGCTGTAAAGGACACCATTATGCAGAATGCTCTTAAGGAGTACAACCTCGCCTAAAGTTCCTCCTCTTACTTCTCTTGTGTTCCGTCTGTTCATCTACACTTACAAGGTGATTTATGGGATGCCAGTTGTGTTTTGTACACGAAAGTGTAGATCTCATCCCTAGTATTTTTTCCCCCACTTAGTTGTGGTAGATTCTCACCAAAATCTTTGTAGAGATGCGTGAACTTTCAACGAAATAACTTGTAAAGTGTATTAGTGTCTATATGCATGGATTTGAAAATGTATGTATTCATGTTTGGTGGAGTGAGGATGTATGTTTAGGTTTCAATTGTATTTGATTTTGTAAAAAAATTTCTGCTTTGATTATTTATCTGATGATTAATTAGGTATATTAGTCTTTCTTATTTGCTTATAGAAAGTAATTTTTAAAGATCTTTTTTCCTCTGGGTTTGAATATCATTATTTGATTGGATAACGGGTTTTCATATTTGCAGTAGTTTCTTGTTTGAAATTTTCTTTAAATAAGTAATGATTTGAAAGAAAATAATTTTCCTGTAGAGTTGTAGTTTGGTAAGAGATGTTTATGATTAGTTAGAAGCATTAGTTACATAATTTTTCACATACTAACAGAATGTTTTACTTTTTTTCTTACAGACACTGAGAACATAAGGTTCGTCTTCGCTGCCGTCAAAGACACAATCCTGCAGCTAAATCTAAAGGAATACAATCTGGTGTAACGTAGAGCTGTGCCCAACTCTGGCCGAAAGTGTACCCAAGGTGAAGTGACAGCATACCCCCCTACTCTTGTGAGGGGCTGTCGGTTGAGGCCTCACTTCATCACCCTAATATGGACACTAAACTATGAAGGCAGTCATATTTTGCATTTTTAAAACCCATATTCAGTGTCCCAAAGAAATAAAGCTCTTTTTTTTTTTTTTTTTTCTTTTTCTTTTTTTCTCAATTTCCAAAGATTTGTGTGAGCCTTCAGTTCCCTTCCAAGTCAACTGTTGGGACAGCTTCAGCTATTTGCAGACAGCCTAAATTGAGGATGTTTTGATGCCAAGGGGCTTGACACCTTCAATTATGTAGTTCCAATTTATGTAATGTACGCCATTTCCAAGTCCTCAGTTGCGTACAATGTCTGTTAACCCAAAGTCTCACACCCGGAAGGGGCGGATTAACTAGTCCAAAGCCATGACTGGTTCCATTTTTGACTGTTGCCATGTTGCCAAAAGGACCGCCCCTACCCATGTCCCGTGCTCATTACCAACGCTGCCAACGAGCTTAGTGCTCTCTGGTCGTAATGGTGCTCCCTAAGCCCTGATTCACGCGTGTGGATGTGTGTGTGTCGCTTAAGCCACACTCAGCCGCTGCTACATGTGCGTAACTTGGAGCTAATGTTAGTGTGTACACTGATAAACATCATGGGCTGACACACTCCACATCTAACGAAGTATTGCTCCAGCCTCGTTTTCTTGCCTTTGCGGGAAAGTTTGCTTGCCTTGCAGGTGATTGTTAGGATGTTTTGTGTTGGTGGCTTTTGTATATTACACATATATAAACATTATGTGGTCTAACGTTTCATCTTTAGTGTGTGATAATATGTAGTTGATCATGAGAGGAGCTATCCATTATGTATAGGCCTGCAAAGTTTCCTGGGGGTTAAGGAAGAAAGAAGTGCTTGCTACTGAGACTTTTATGCACCTCCAAAGTAATGCATCTGGACCACAAGTAAGTAGAGCACAGAAAACTACTTGAAGATGCAACAGCCAAATGCAGTGAGTCTTATGGCGTCCAGAGTGTGAGAAAAGAGAAAGAGTCAACAGAACAACAGAGAAGGAACAACAGAAGAAGAAGCAGTTTTAAATTCTGATTTCTGAGAGTGATACTTAGAAATGTTAAGCATTGAGTACTTTGCTGCCACTTACCTTAGGTTGGTACAAATCTGAATAAATCAGATACCACGTATGAGTAGCTGCTGTAAGATTTGGAAATGTATCTACCTATGAGGGCATCAGTGCTTGTGATATATTGGTGGTAGCGAGTATGGCTTTAAAATGTCTCTTTAGATAGCCAGATCTCCTCTGCCTGGTGAAAGGCAAAGCCAGGTATCAACACTACCTACCAAGTGACACAGAAGCTTATTGGTGAGGTGCTACAGACTGTAGGCTCTTAATATCTACTCTTGCGTCAAAAAGTGCAATTCAAAGATAGCTGACTCGGAGCTGAGACTTAAGACTCTTGTGGCTTATGCGAAAGTGAGCCTAGAATGGTATTTTTGAGTATCACTAGCCATTTACTGATAATCATGCTTGTATGTGACGTGTGTTCAATGCAACCTGGGCACAAGGGTGTGCCTGCAAACGTGTCCAGCACTGTCCCCGATGATAGGATGTTGATTTATGATAATGAGTGTGATAATGGTGATGATTGTTGAATGATGATGATTGTAGACGGAAGCACTAGTCAGTATGGGCGCGGGTAAACACAATTGCCCACTGCTCATGTTACTTGTATATATGTGTCTGTAATAATAACTATTAGGTGTATGGGTGCGGGGTAACCTGGTGAACCCCCATGGATTGCCAATAGAGAAGGTAGCGAATGAACGGATGCTGAGAGTAAATGAACAGACCACGGACAAAGACGTTCCAAAAGCTTGGCGCACCCTAGCGAAAGGGCTGTGTGCTAATTCTAGTCTCTGGTGCCATCAGGTGTTTCTTACTAGACAAGCCCATTCAATTTTGGGCTGGTCTGAACCTGGCCATTCTGGCAGACAAACTCGGATCAGCTGGTGAGGGAGAAAAAACCCGTAGTTGACAGCTGAGCAGAGCGGGCAAAGTGGCTCATGATGAAAGCTTTGCCTGCAGCGTAGACTTAGCTCAATCCCCAGCCATGTGAGGTACGCATGGCACGTGTGCTTCTGCTTGCAGGTTCTGCCATGTTTGTTGGGCTGCTTGTATAATTAGTAGAGAGACTAATGGAATTACACACAGCCCTGGAAATGAGCCTTGACCTTCCAATCGTTTGTACACTTGTTGTTATATTCTTAACTTCAGGTTGCATTTTGTCTATTGTTTGTAGTATGTACAGACCAAGTAAGGTATTATTTTTATTCATTATCATTACTTTTATGGAAAGAATGTGTTGACAAGTAATTACCAATCATGTGTATTCAAAAAGACTTGTACTAAGGTTAAAAAATTGAAAACCCCATATGTACCAAAGTATAACTTGATTTTATTTTTGAAGTGGCCGACATGTAGCATGCAGTAGTAGTGGGCGGAGGAGGCGTCCACATAGCCACCCTGCTACCCCGCCCCGGTCTTTAGCACTGCCTACTGCTCCACCCACCCTGGGTCCTCCCCCGGCCCTGGGGGGCATGGAAGCTTTGGCACCGGGGCAGGTGTGGCTTGGGGGGGCCAAGGCCCCAGTCTCCCCCCTGCAGGACCCTGGCCCCTCCCTGGCATGTTGTCGCAAGATGTAACCACCAGAGATGAACTAAACCTTTCTAATGGCTGCACCTTGCCCTGCCTCCTTCCTGGTGCCTAGCCAGTCACAACAGCGGTGTTTGGCTAGGTACTAGCGTGTGGGCAGCAAAAGGTCAACAATACACCTGCTGCCCACACTTCCTCCCATCCTCTGCAGTGCTTCAACCACACCAACTCGGTCCACTACTGTACTATTCATTAAGCTTCAGACTGAAAGAAAGAAAGGGATTTGTGTTTTAAGAATAAATATTTATTGAAACAAGTATTTATTTAATTTTCCTTTCACATTTGAAGAAGTTAACATTTGTTGTTATTCATTGCTTAACTTTAAGATTTACAAGCTTTGTAGTTGATAATATATTTATCAATGAACATAAACAGCTTTGTAACAAGTTTACATATATGTTACAAACTGATATTGCAGTATTATAGAAAATGGTACTCTTGAAACATTATGATTAAACTCTACGTTACTCTTTATACTGAAATGTTGACAAAAAGAACGTTATACAAGAGTCGACATAGTATGATATTAAAAGCAAAACAATTGGACATAGCTTTTTTTTTTTTTTTTTTTTTGAACAAGTTAACTTATAACAAGTTCTAAAGTTACAAATTTCTGGTCTCAAAGTGAATAGTAAAATATCAATAAAATAAAAGATTTCACTGAATTTTAACGCCTAAAGTTGTTGTTACACCTTGTATTCTATTCATCGTAAGTAGTATCTTCAATATCAGAATAGATATAAAATCAATCTTTCAAAGTATGAACAGAAGTTTCCACCTCCTAGAGCAAAACAAAATCAACAAAGAAAATTAACTTTGATTGGATAACAATTTAGTAGTAATAATGAAGATACTAGCCTTCATTTAACCCAAAAGCACTGAATTAATTAGTGTCTTGTCTCCTAGAAGAAAGAAAGAAAGAAAAAAATAATGTCAGGATGATGTTTCACCTGCTTGTCTTTAGATCTGTACTAGTGATTTTTTTTTTATAGAAGTTTTGAAAAGGAGTGTTTCAGCAGACTGGAAGGCTGGAGCTCAAGAACTAAAGCAATGTTGAAACCAGATAACTGCATGCCTATACAGCACATAAAACATGGAGCATAGTATATAATGGTATGCATACTTTTCATCTGGTAATCTAGCCAACCTTTTTGCAAGGCATGTCATAAGGTTGAAAATATTGAAGCCAAAGAAAAATGAAAAAATGTGCAGAAATTAGATACTAGAAAAGAAATTGGATTTTTCATTAAGCCTAGTAATTGGAATTTGGTTTGTTGTTTTTTATTGTTTTATATGTTATAGAAATGTCTATGAAAAGGTAAAAGATGAAAATATTTTGGCACATGAACAAGATCTTGCAGATGTAAAAATACTTGAAATTGTTAGGAACTCTTCTATAAACCACTCCTTTTACTGTGATATAGGTCTTTGAAAGAATGTTTCTTGTAGTGTGTGAGTAGTAATTACATTGCATTTTAGTGTTTCTTGAAGAATTGTATGAAACAATATTAATAGGTTGAATATATCAAGGATTCTCCATTTTATATAGAGGCAATATTGATATTTTATGAATTCATATTACTTGTGTATATAGATCCATTCAAATGTGCCATGATATAAATATGACGGATGTATTTGTAGGGGTAAATCAATTTCAGTTAGAGAGTTTGCCCTTTTTTGTTTGATATATGCATTGGAATGTTATAAAGAATTTTATTAATATTTTGTAATAGAGTATGCAGTGATCGATATTTTATGAATTCATATTACTTGTGTATAAGATCCATTCAAATGATGCCGGATTGTATGATATATGGTCACTTCAGGAGAGTTTGCCTTTTGTGATATAGCATTGGAATGTAAATTAAATATTTTGTAATAGAGTAGTGCACATGAACATTGTAACTAAAGATGCCATGAATTCATGTTCCTGAAATGTGTAACATCTACAATTTTTTTTTAAATTTAGTTTTGGCAGTTTTAAAAAATGAAATATCTCTATTTATCCATTCCATCTACATCTGTAGTCAGTCATCTCTCTCTCTCCTGTCTCTCTCTCTTCTCTCTCTCTCTCTCTCTCTCTCTCTCTCTCTCTCTCTCTCTCTCTCTCTCTCTCTCTCTCTCTCTCACTCTCTCACTCTCACTCTCACTCTCACTCTCCACTCTCCACTCTCACTCTCACTCTCACTCTCACTCTCCACTCTCACTCTCACTCTCTCACTCTCACTCTCACTCTCACTCTCACATCTCTCTCACTCTCTCTCTCTCTATCTGTCTCTCTCACTCTCTGTCTATCTGTCTCTCTACTCTCTCTCCTATCGTCTCTCCATCTCTGTCTGTCCTCTCTCACTCTCTGGTCTCTCTCACTCTCTCTATCTCTCTCACTCTCTGTCTTTCTCTCTCATCTGTCTATCTCTCGTCTCTCTCCACCTCTCTCTCTCTTCTATCTGTCTCTCTCACTCTCTCTATCTTATCTGGTCCTTCGTCTCACTCTACTGTTCTATCTTTCTCTCACTGTTCCTATCTTTACTCTCCCTCGTCTGTCTCACTACTCTTTCTCTCTCCTCTCTGTCTGTCTTTTCTCTCTCACTCTCTCTGTCTGTCTTCCATCTCTCTCTCTGTCTCTCTCCACTCTGTCTATCTTCTCTCTCCTCATCTCTGCTGCTGTCTCGTCATCCTATCTCTTCTTCCTCACACTCTCTGTCTATCTTTCTCTCTCACTCTCTCTATCTCTCTCTCTCTTCCTCTGCTCTGTC